TATAGACAAAAATAGCAAAAGTAAATTTATTTGTAGAACAATTATCTAATGTAATTCTATTTGAAGAATCTCTTACTGTAAGTACTTCAATTCTTATTACTATCCATTGGAAAGCACTTCTTCTCCTTTGTTGACATCTTATACCTGCATTATAAGATCAATATTTAAAAATGGAAGATCCAGCCAAGCTCTAAGAGAATCTTAAATCCAGATTTGATCATCAAAAGACCATTTTCTTTCCATGTGCATGTCATGATTGGACACATTTACATGTCTTGGATTTTCCAAATTTAAATGCTTTCAACAATGAAATATATCATATTATCTCACAACTATGATTGTATGGACAAAGCATCTCTAAAGAAGAAATGATTGAAAAAACTCTCTCTACATTTCTTCTTGCATCTATTGTGCTTGCACAATAATATAAGAATATGAAATTTTAGAGTCATCTTGATCTCATGTCCTATTTACTTCTTGTAGAGAAATAAAATGAGCTACTCTTACGTAATGCAGAAGCTCGTCCTATTGGATCTACAATTCCAAAATCTCATTCACTTAATATTCTAAAGTCTAAGAAACAAGTATATAAACATGGAAAAAATGCTCATAAGCACTAGATCACTCATGGTCATGACCATTTCTGCCTATATGGAAAGATTAAATGTTCTATAACTAATTATAATAAAAAACAAAAATCAAAGATGTATTCTTGCCATAAATGTAGAATGATTGGACATTTAGCACATACATGCCATACTTCAAAATATTTTACTCAAATGTTCTAAGAAAATAAGAAACTTTGAGTTGAGGCTTATGAAGTTCATACTATGGATGCATCTAATAGATTTAATTAGTATTGATGGTTTAGAAGCTTATATGAATGACAAAATCTCTAATAATAAATCAAATGATGCGCTCTTTGATTTTCCAACAATACATACTATCCTATAGCAGAGACATTTTTTTATTGAAAAATCTTCAACATGACAAACTAGAAATTTGATGACTATGGCTGGAATGAATGCGTTTTGTTTCCAAGAGGGAATAGCAATGGCAAAATTACATGCGAACTCTATCATAAAATGTAAACATGCAATTTTTGCATCCTCAGCACTTTGAAGTCTGATCGAGATGTGCATGCCCATGGTTATCACCTCTCAATTCCAATTCTAGATAGGTGAAAGGATTTTGGTTCTTCAATACAATCATAAAGTTGTAGAAAAAGCCTTTGCTGCGACAAATGGTTTATATTGGCTTGCAATTCGGCCTCTTATTATATTTAATTTTGCATCATCTATAATAGAGAGCTGCATTTTTCTTTGGCATAGACGATTGATACATCCAAGATCTATATTATTTTGAAAGATAATTCCATGTATAACTAGGTATAATTTAAGACCTGCAGATATAGATTCTATAGAATTATGTCGTGCATGTATGTAAGATTAGAGGATTGTTTGGCCTTCAATTTGAAAACTTTCACAAGAATTACCAACAATGCTTGAAAGATTGCATGGTAATATTTGTGGTCCTATTAATCCAATATTTGGACCATTTTGTTATTTTTTGGTCTTTATTGATGCATTGCCAAACAATCACATGTTTCATTATTATCATTTCAAAATATGGTATTTGCTAATCTTACATCTATGCTTATTTTTTTTTAGCACATTTTCTTGATTATCCTATCAAAACATTATGTATAGATGATGCAAAAGAATTTGCATCAAAGTCCTTTGAAGACTATTGTACTACAACATGGATTGAGTTGATATATTGTGTTCCATATGAACATGTTCAAAATGGACTTGCAGAGTTATTTGTAAAGCATATACAACTCATTACCCGACCACTACTTCTTCATGCAAATTTACCTGCATCTATGTGAAATCATGGAGTTTTGCATGTTGCAGTATTAATATGTGTCCATCCTTCTTCTCTTGAAATTATTACACCGCAAGAGCTTATTTCAAGTCGTCTTTAAAATGTATCTCACCTATGGGTTCCAATACTAGAACATCAATGGCATACCATTGGAACTTATTGACGAGAAGGCATATATGTTGGTTTTGATTCACCAAGGATTATTTATATAGTTGATCCATAAACTACCACATTATTACATGCACATTTTTAAAATTATCGTGTTGAAGAGAATGTATTTCCATCTCTTCTAAGAGGAGTATTTAATCAACAAAGAAATATAGTACTTGCATTTGGAGCATCAGAAACATTTACAATGAATCATGATCCTAAAACATCTTTAGCTGAAAGTGAAGTTACTAAGATTTTGTATCTAAAATGGATTATAAATGAAACACATCATGGCTTTAATGATGTGCCTCGGATTATAAGAATTCCAATTAATGAGGCTCAAAATGAATTTGTTCAAATTGTAATACCACTAGCAAATATACCTCAAGTTAAAATATCAGTAATTAAAAGGACTTATAGACCAGATAAGCAACCACGAAAGAAGAAAGCTATAACATGTGGTGATTCTAGTATTGTTTCTATGGAAGTTCCTACTAAACATATGAGACCATCAATTAGTGATAATATGTCAATGCACATTATACCTTTATCTCATGCTATAGAAAATTTTAAAATTAGAAGGAATAAAATCAAGTTGAGTACAAAATTATTTGTTCTATATTATATTACAAATAACCTTTGGAATAGACCATCTAATATAATAAATGAATCATTTGCATTTATGATGGCAGAAGTTCTTTCTTATGAGAAAGAGGATAGTAAACCTCAAAGCATTTACGAAGTGATGCGTCGCTTTGATTAGTTAAAATAGAAAACTGCCATCAAGGATGAGTATGCTTCTTTGCGTAAGAAGAAAGTCTTTGGTCCAATTATAGATACTCTTACTTCTTACCTTGTGGAATATAAGATGGTATTAATATGCAAGCAAGATGCTAAAGGTCAAATAATCTGCTATAAAGCTCGTCTTGTTGCTCAAGGATTTACCTAATGGTTTGGCATTGATTATGAATCTACATATTTTTCAGTCATGGATTCAGTTACATTCCGATATATTATTAGAATGGCAGTTCATGTCACCTTTAAGATGCATCTCATAGATGTGATAATTACATATTTGTATGATTCACTTGATGCAAATATTTACATGAAAGTTCCATCTGGTTTGGAAACAAGAATTCCAAAGGCACCTGCTCCATGATGATATTGTGGTATTAAATTACATAAGGCCTTGTATAGTCTAAAATAATCTGGATGCATGTAGTATCATGGTTTCCATGATTATTTAATTATAAATAAATTTATAAGTGATCTATTAATCCCTTGTTTATTTATCAAATGAGATAAAATTAGTTTTGTGATCATTGTTGTATATGTTGATGATCTTAATTTAATAGGTATTAGATCTACATACATTGTAGCTATTAACCTACTTGTACGTGAATTTGAGATGAAAATGCTAAAAAAATAACTTTCTGCATTGGACTTTAGATTATGCATCTCACATATGGTAGCATTTTTTTCTATCAACTAACATATATTAGAAGAATCTTACAGAGATTCAATATGATTGATGCTTATCTATTGTCCACACCAATAGTTGGATCTCGTCATGATGGTCATGATTCATACTGTCCATGCGAGGAGAAAGAGAATATATCATGAGAGTAATATCCATACCTCATAGTGATTGGAATACTTTTATATTTAGCCACATCTACCAAATCAGATATTACATTTGCAGTTAGTGTTCTTGCAAGATACAGTGCATGTCCAACACTATGATATTGGAATGGCATCAAACATTTACTACATTATTTAAAAAGCATTGAAGATTTGGGATTATATTATCTACAATCTACAGATCCAAAATTAGTTGGATATTCTAATCCAGGATATAAATCTGATATTGCAATAGCTAAATCTCAAATGGGCTATATATTCTTAAAAAATGGAGCTGTAATATCATAGAAATCAGTGAAACAAACTATAACTGCAACTTCATCCAACCATGCAAAAATTATTGCCTTACATGAAGCATCTCAACAATGTATTTGATTGCGATCAATTGATAAATTTATTCAAATAACATATAGATTTTAATGTGATGATTCATTAATTATCTTGTATGAAGATAATAGTGCTTGTATTAGTTAGATACAAATTGGTTTCATTAAAGGAGATAGGACAAAGCATATTGATATAAAGTATTTTAGTTATACCCATGTCTTAGTTACTGATCAAGTACTTAAAATCAAGAAAATTGAATATGCAATTAACCTTGTTGATCTCCTCACCAAAGCTCTCCTTTTCTGTAACCATTGCCGACTTACTTATGGCATTAGCATGTGGAGACTTGCTTTTCTAGAACAAGAAAATTAATAAACTCTTGAGATAATGTTGTACTTTTTTTCCTTCATCTATGATTTTGTGCTTAAATATAATAAGGTTTTTTCTAGATAAGATTTTAATGAGGCAACAGTTGTTGATCTTACAAGTTTACAAAAAAATATAGATCATAATTCTATACATATAAATGTTATGACAAGTAAGGGAGAATGTTGAGAGCATTAAATGTAGCTGATGATCTCCATACTATTTATTCTATTTATTTGTAGCTGTAGTGTTTGGAATGTAGTTGAGAGATATTGTTTATCTTCTCTCCTTCTCTTAAAGGATATAATCCTATCCATAAACTCACTTCTTGTTCTTAAGTGTGTACACATATGTGTGCATATTACTTCTAGCTACTATTGTCTCTCTTTCTCTAAAACATTCTCAACACTTTCTAGGCCGTTTCTGGTCTCGTTCGCTTGGTGTTCGCTCCTTTCTCCGACACTCATGGTCCTTACTGGTTCACTATGCCAGGGTTGGGAAGAAATTTTGTTTAATCTTATTCTGAGCAGTTTTGAGGTTTCCGAGCTATCGTTTTTCGTAGTGTCACGGAGTGAGGGTTGGGAGCTGAGTCGAGTTGAGTTGGTGGTGCTTGCAATAAATTAGACGCGATGTCGGATGACGAAATGAAGGAGGAGAAGGAGCCCGACCTGAGGTCGCCAGATGTCGTGACCAAGTACAAGTGCGCGGCAGAGGTTGCTAACAGTACGTAGTTTCACAGCCTAATTGATACGTTGCACATCATAGCTCGGAGGAAATGTTGTGAAGTTGTCGTGTACAGTCATGAACTTCATGCAGCTACTGCGCATGATCATCAGTACCCCGAGCTGCGTGAATGGCGTGAGCTCACTCTTTGGATTGACTGTAGTTGCGGGGAGATGGCATTGGGACCTTTGAAGGTATAATTGAAACTGTTGTATTTGCTTGCATGGTAATGTTTGTTATTAGTGGTCGAAATTATATTATAGAAAGGGGTCATTTGGGAGCTTATGCTTTGGAGCGAATGGTCCCTGCATAGGAGTACGTGTGCGGGGCTCTGCATGGTTCGAGCAAAACTGCTTTGATGATTCCTTAGATTGGAGAATGACTTTGGATTATTCGGTTCCGTTGCTACTGTAATTCCGCATAGGCCTTGCAAGCAGTGCTCGCAGATAGCTAACCGGGAGCGAAAATCGTTGACCTTTGTGAGAAGGGAGATTCTTTGATTCGCGAGCGTGTCGATTGGACCAGACTTGCTCCTTGTCCTGCTTCCTCCAATTTGAATGGCTACAAGAATGGATACTTCTTACTAGAAAATTACTATGTCACGTAACATGTGTGCACTATGGCCATTAGATGCAAGCCACTGAAATGAAGAATCGAGTTATTTGTCTGTGTGAATATGTGACTTTTGGACTATGTGGTTCCTTTTTGATCTGCAGAACTCGTTCGCTCTGAGCTACCGTTCTCAATTGTCAGCTTAGGCTGTATTCCTGCTGAGAAAAGCTCTTTACTGGCAGTCAAATAGCTCTAATATACAAAAACTCCAAGAAGAAAATTGACAAAGGAGTTGCCTTTCCCACTTGCGTGTCTGTCAACAACACTGTGTGCCACTTTTCGCCCTTGGCTAGCGACGAATCTGTTCTTGCAGCAAATGACATTGCAAAATGTAAGATAGAGAGAGGTGGAATTTCAATTCATTTAATTTTTGAAATACTACTTTTATTGAAAACTTTGATTTAAAATGGAACAGTGTACACAGTTTTCATGTGCGAAATCAGCGCCTCACCTTGGGCTCACAATCCATGACTCTTTGTGTCTCGCTCAACTTCTACGCACAGAGTTGCCGTTCCAGCCAATACAGAGTGTTTTGCTGTTTGTATTAACTAGGACAGATCAATTGAATCAGTGGCAGCTTATATATCTGGATTCGTTGGATTAGGAACTCCTTACCTTCAACGGTCTGAGTAGGTTACGTGTGTATGCATTATTGAGCAGAACTTTGTTGGTTTGCAGAGATATAGGCTGCCATGTCGACGGATTTACAGCCGTTGTCGCACATACACATGTGCTTAGCGAAGGACCTGTTACAGGTTGTGCCGCAGATGTTTTGGCTGCCGCTCATACAGCTGTAGAGGTTGCCCTTCGTCTAGTGAGACCTGGAAAGAAGGTCTGTCCTTGATTGTTTCCCTTGATACTAAATTTACAGGTTCAGGATTTCGCAATAACCCACCCTCGCTTTTATGGTACTGATGATGAAATAACTTTGTTTTGCAGAACAAGGACGTGACAGAAGCTATTCAGAAGGTAGCGTCGGCATACGACTGTAAGATTGCTGAAGGTGTGCTGAGTCATCAGCTGAAGCAGTTGGTCATTGATACTAATAAAGTAATTCTGAGCGTGTCCAACCCAGAGACGCGTGTAGATGATGCTGAGTTTGAGGAAAACGAAGTGTACGCAATAGATATCGTGACCAGCACTGGTGATGGAAAGGTAATTTTCTAAACATTCTTTTCAGCGATATCAACTTCTACCATATACGGTTACTAGGAGCATTTTCAACTGTTGTTTGAACAGAATGAGGTTTTGCTTCGTAGAATATGGTGCTCAGTTCGCATTTATATGTTGCATATGTTCTTTTGAGGGGAGCCCGTATGTTGTAGTTGTAAAGGAACATTGTGATATAATAATATAGTTTGCATGGCGTGGAACGTTTGTCTTCGTGCACAACAAATTTATGTCTGAATTCTAATTGGTAGTATCGTGCTATTTTGAGGTCCCCTAGACAGGTTTGTTACAACTATGAGTATGCATTATGTTTCCTGTCACATTGTTTTTTTTTCCTAAATTTATATCTTTGTATACGTGGTTTACTCTTTAATTTATACATGCTACTAACCCCTACACGTCGTCGTTATGATAGAATCCAACCAGAGTCTAGACAGGTTAGCTGACCGTCTTGAAATACGAAATGTTTAGCACACTTTCTTTCTTTGTTTTACCCTATCGTAGAGTCTGGTGATAACCAGGTATATAAGAGATATTGATCTTACAGCTCCCTTCTGCATACTTGTCCAAACTCACTGATATATTAACATTCAGCACTTCTTCGTTCTTTGTGTTGTTTATGCAGCCGAAATTATTAGACGAAAAGCAGACCACAGTGTACAAAAGAGCTGTCGACAAGAATTATCATCTTAAGATGAAGGCGTCAAAATTCATCCGCAGCGAGATTAATTCTAGGTTCCCACTTATGCCCTTCACTGCAAGGTGTGGCTTCCTTCGTGCTCAAAGAAAACTTATTTACTGTTATCACATATTTTCTGGGGCTTGGATGTCTCTGGATATTGAATTGGCCGATGGGTGCACTTTGAAATTTCTGTGTATTTCAACCTCTTATCTCCGTTCTTAATTGTTCTTTCTATACCTTCAGCTGGTAACGTGTGCTGTTATTTTATTGACATAATCAGAGCTCTAGAGGAGAAGCGGGCTCGTCTTGGTCTTGTGGAGTGTGTGAATCATGAACTGCTTCAGCCCTACCCCGTTCTTCATGAGAAGTCTGGTATAACTATTTTTCACCAACTGTAGAATAATCGAAGTTCTCAAAAATTCCATTAGCGAGCCTTTGGAAAAAAAAAATATATATCCTCATATGCTTTTTCTGTGGATGTGTTTTTTTTGCTCTCTTTTGTTGCTGCGATTGAAATGTAATGTGGCAAATTTATCTGACATAAGCCTAGTTCATTAATTTTGACGGGTGACTTCGTAGCTCGCATCAAATTTACTGTACTACTCATGCCCAATGGCTCCGACAAAATTACTGGTGTACCACTTCAAGAGTATCAGCAAACCAAGGTTCCAGATGACCCAGAGATTAAGGCCTGGTTAGGCATGGGGATCAAGTCCAACAGAAAGGGTGGTGGCAAGAAGAAGAAAGGCAAGAAGTAGCTTAGGCATTCCACGGACGCATTTACTTAAGCTCAGAAATGAGTCGACAACTTTCAGTTTCTTCAGGTGCTAGTAGCTGTGCCACTGACTTTTGGACACAGTAATTACGGACAATGTCTGTACATGTCGAATTCTGTTACACCAAGTCGAAGGTGACAAGTCATATGAATGATCAGTGAGTGAGAATGTTCAAACACTGCTGTAACATGATTTCTCAAAGGCCTCTGAAAATATTTGATTAACAACAATTTGATTGGTGAAGAAGTGCTATTTTCTTATCAATTATAGAGTATCAGATGTTCTGTATGATCTGAGAACCTCCACTTACCAAAAGTACATTCTCGTACAATAGTTCAGGAATGTTTGCCAATGTTGACTACATTTCCCTTTGAATTAGAAACCATAGAACATATCCTATTCAAATAGCATGGCTACATTCACCGTTAGATCCTAGTTTTCTTGTGTAGGATCTGGTCGACAACGGGCTTGTCTTTACCGTCAATGAAAAGAGTAACTCTGCACTACGAATAAGAATAATTACAAATAAAGAAGATCCCCAGTTTCTCTAAATCTCGCATTTACTGGGGCTGGCTCATGCACTAGACACAAGCCACACCAGTGTGCACGTGGTAATAATAAGTCCTCAATCATGATCATTTGAAGAGATTGCAAACTGGAAATGGAAATCTAATATCCTGTGTAGTTGAATATTACCGACATGGTTGTTAGGATCCTCTGTTTTGGAAGCCACAAATTATCAATCCTCAGATACGAGTCAAGATTATAAAACCGATGGCTGTTTTGCTTTTCTATTCTAGCATAAATGTGAAAGACTCCGAGGTTGCATTTAAGGAATGACCACTAAGACTACAATCCATCTGTCATAGCAATCCAATCACTATGAGTAATCCTGCAAGAACAAGCCAAACCATGTGCACCAGCTGCAACGACTGAGCCGCGTGCAATCCCAGATTTGCCTTGGTACCGCCGTTCCATATGTCACAATAGCCATCGTGTGCCACCTCCACTTTGGCGCACTTGGCTTCGGCCACGCCACACCAGTATGTAACACCATCAGAGCCGCAAACACTACACAGGAAATAGAAGAAGAAATCAGCTTTGTGCTGGAATTAGATTTCATTTCTGTTTCTATTCAAGAGCAAAGAATCCATCGAAAATTTAGGTTCACTTTCTAATAAGAGTGGACCATCAATTTGGAATTCATTACTCTAAAGAAGATGAGACTATCCACCAAGATATTTACATTGAGAGTGAAGGCTTCACGTTTTTAATTAACGCCCCGTTTATAACTTTTTTAAAGCACTTAAGTAAGGTTTAACACTAGGTTTAGAGTACATATTGTCTAATTTTTTCAAGCCAGCTCTCCACCTTCACATTGGGACATCCCTGAGCCCATTTTAAAGTTACATCAAATTGTCCATCAAGCATCTGATAGCTTAAAAGTTCGTTTGGTCATCAGCACTTAAAGAAGGCAGTACGTATGAAAGGACTTAAAGGCCTTCGAGTAATGTGATCGTATAAAGAGCGTTCAACTTACGGGTCAGCTCTGAAGCAGTTAACCGTGCACAAGGGCTCCTTTTCAATCGGTGGGTCACCTGTGGGTTCACCCAAAACAGAGACTAAATCGCATGAGTCGGATTCTGAAAGTGATTTGTGGGCTAACTCAGGCTCTCAACACATTTCAGAAAGACTCTCATAACCAGTGTCTGCAAGTTTTTGCGAAGTGCAAATAAATTACAAGTCGAGATCTACACCTACCTTCTGAAAGGATGTTAAAATCAGCTTCAAGTCCGCTGCTTTTAAAGTTATCCCCTTTCTCTTCTCCACATACCTGAAACCAAAATATTCATCAGTGATATGATCCTACGACGAGTTGCTCATCTCCATTCACAAGTGAAATAAATCAGCACTAAAGCTTCTACCTTGGAAACGAGCGGCAGTGTAAGTATGAACGTTTCATAACTTTTTTTTTAAATCCCAGAAATCAAAAAATCAAAAACAGAAAAAAGAAACCCGGTGACCAGGCAAGATTGTCAATGTTGCTTTGAAGCGGTTCGTGAGGACCAGCCTCCGTCCAGAGAGACTCGCACACAGTAATCACTCAACTAAATTACCGATCTGCGGTTTCACAAGCCCTTGCAATGGCAGTGTTGTTGTCAAGCCGTCACACCAAAGAGCTTAATTTCGTTACGGCACTGTTTTAGTGTAGGAATGTTACAACCAGCTCCATTATAATACTCAATCCCACATTTCGAACCGAAATGACATGAACTATTTCTCGCAAGAAGCTGATTGTTCGGCACCACCTTCGAAACTATACCAGACAATCCACAACATGAAGATGGAGGACCAGTTCGTGGTAGGAAGGAGATTACACACCAGAGAGAAGTGATCGCAAGGGGCGGCATGTTGCAAGGGGAGTTCCCATGCAGATCCCTGGTTCGGCTTGCCAAGGAAAAGCTCCTCTGCCGACACGGCGAACATCAAGCTCAGGGCCAGCAAGAGTAGAAGAACGGAGGACGGACACTCACGCACAGACTCCATATCTTCTTTTCCACCGACACCAAAGTCGAGCGCATCAGAGCCCCACCCGCAACCTTTCTGATAGCCTACATCAATATCCGTGCCTGCAGATCCATTACCATCTCGACCTGCGCATTCGTGGCGTCTCTCCAGCTCCCACGCAACTTCCTCTACAACTGTTCCTGTCGCCAATGCAGAGATACCATCAAGGAAATTTCCCCCCGCTCATTGAGAAATCGAGGCACACTCCACTTCATCACCAAAAGTATGATTTTTTTGTTCTTTCTGGGCTGTCAATATCTCATATTTTCAAAAGAACCAGAACCTACAGGAACACAGACTGCCCACCCGACTGCCGCCGCTGGTCACATCCAAGACACCACGCAGAAGACTATCTCAACATGCTCCCTTGCACCCCCAACAGCAAATAGGAAAGAATCCAACTGCTTAGTATGATGGCGCAAAGACGATTCAATTCCCGCTCGTCGACCTCCACACTCCGGAAGGCGAATCCAACAAAACCCTCTACCCCCAACCGACACTGAATCCCCGCAGGAGATTCAAATTTGAGGGGAGCCAAGAAGTGACTGACGCAGACAGAAAGAAGAGAAAATAAAATAAATAAAATAAAGAAGCAGGCAGGCAGAGGGAGATTGGGTTCTACAGGCGGGGATGGATCAAATCGGTCCCCAGCTCCTGCGTGACGCAGTGCAGAAGCTGTGAGGCAAGTTGAACCTATCCGCAATGTGCACCCAGGAGTGGGTGAGTGAGTGTGTTAGAAGAGGAGGACAGGAGAGCACTGTGGAACACAAGAATCAGCAAGTGTGGATGGTTATTTTGGCAAGAGGTGGGGGGGAGGGTCGGGGGTCGGGGAAGCAGGGGGGAGGTAGATCTAGCTTCCCTCTACTTTAGAGGAACTGCTGCATCCTTTTTATGACCTCCCCCAGCAAATGCTCCCCTGTTTTGGGCTCCATTCGCCCACACCCAGCGCTACTTGCCGCAATCCGGGAAAACCTCTTCCCTTCCCACTGACTGGGCCGACTGCGGCGGCACTCTCTCTCCCCCTTGCTCTCTCTCTCTCTCTCTCTCTCTGGGGGGAGCTGGCGCTTTGGCAGAACACCTCCCCGGGCTCGGACCGGCTGTGGGTGAACGAGAAAAACCTGGCCGCCACCCTGTGCGCGTGCGTGACCACTCGGAGAGGCGCGACTCCGCGACTGATTTAGGCTTGAGGAAGAAACCAGCGATGCAGTAGGGCGGGTAATAAAATACACAAAATCACGGTCACCCTACCATTTAATAACTCCGGTTTCGGCGGTCCACATAGGACTGGAGTTTCATCTGGAAATCGGGGCCCCATGGTGTGTGTGCATCTGGATGAGGAGGGGAGGGGAGGGCGAGGTGCGGGGCGTTACTCGCATCACCCCCTCTACATATCCAACTATCCAGCCAGCCAACCAGCGAATGAGCCAACAACGGAGCGAGTACGCGAGTGAGTGAGTGTGAGTGAGTGGGTGCGTGAGCTTGCTTGCTGTGGCCGTTGCGAGCAGGACAGAGCAAGTTGGGTTCCGCCTTGGAAGTTGCACCCAAGTCCCCCCTCTCCTTTCTTTCCCTCTTTAGTTTTGTTTTCCCTCTATTTTTAAAATTTTGTACTGCTGCTGGGGAGGTGTGTGACCTTCGGTGAAAGGACAGTGCTGACTCCACAACAACAACAAACAAGCCCCCATTTCCCTTCCCCTTCCCCTTCCCCCTCTCTCCCTTACCATTTCCCTGTTTGATTGAATGAACTCTGGTGACATGGCATTGCAACCAAATCATAAAGAGGAAGGAAAAGGCACAGCAGTTGGGATTGGATGACGTGGCATGGGATTCTACTACTACTTGCCTTGGTTTGGCTGCTTGGTCACAGTGCCACCAGATGACAACAGGCTGCTATTAATTGGTTAATTAATTAGTCATTGCTTCTTTCTTCATGACCCCGTGTGTGTGTGTGTGTGTGTAAAAGTAAGCTGTTTTCCAATGATAGAATTGTTGATTCAGCATTTTAATTGTTTTATTGTGAAAATAATGGGAAGGAAATGGTAGGTTTTGAGTATGCCTTGATTTTCAACCTTGTGAAATTGACATCTTGCATTATATATGGTATTTTGGATTGAATTGAAATTGAGTTTTCAATGACACATGCTGTGCTTGACATGAAATGCTGGCATCCTGCAACATCCTCTGAAACAGTTCTCCAGTTGACTGAATTGAACAACGAAATATGTATATTTTATTAAATGTGGAATTTCATCATGACTATCCATCCTTCTCCCCTCACACATGATGTCTTTTTTTCCTTCTTCTTCTTCTTCTTCTTTTTTTTTGCCTCGTCCTCCTTTCTTCTTCACTTCATTGTAAAAACACATGCCAAATTATTTTGATCATGACCAAGTGTCTTACAATGTTCACATTGTTTTGTCACTAAAATATAAATATCATTTGTGGAGAAAAAAATATTCTAGTTTAAAATCATACAAATTTAAATAATAAAAATATATTTTTTATTGGTGTATCCCACATGACTTATTTTAGCTTGTTAGATTTTGTTCAAAACATGGATAACATAAATGCAGTGGTCCGATTCCTATGATACAAAACTGCCAACCCACTACCATATGGAATCATACATTGTCCAAAAAAACATCATGTGATGAAGGTGGAGCAAGGTTCCTCATGAGTGGAAGTACTCAAAGGGATGTGGCAACACACCATAGTTGTAACCCGGAAAAGGAATAATAAAGCCTGTGATCCTACTTTATATTTAAATGGATAAAAATAGAATATACTTTCAACAAATATATGGTAACAATCTGGTACTCATATTAAATCTCGGCGAATAAAACTCCGATTTAGAATCCACCCGTGCCCTTCTGGCCTGTCGGCCCCCCTTCCTCTGCCGCCCCACCAGTGCTATCGGTAATACTACCCTCCCGGCACACAACAAGTTCGGGTCCGGAATGGCTCCCTCTCCACGTGGCGATGCCAACAAGGACAATGCCCTTTTTTAGGCGGGAGTCATTTGCTCCCAGGGACTGGGCGATGCGCTGGTATTCGCATTTACTTACCTACCCGGGTACCTCATACTTACTTACCTGGCCTAGGTAGTAGTCGGGTTCTCGAACGGCGGACGGGGATCAAATATTTAATAAGGTTAAGGAGCCAATTACTGTGTACATAAATGCTATGACACGTGTCATGTACCTCAGGGAATGGATCCTCACCGTTCCCTAGGTGGGAGAGAGCGGACGGTTGAGATGGGATAGTCGGTTTCTGACACATCCGTGTTTGACTCAGCTCTTGACGGGGAAGGAGAAGAAGGTGCCAAGAAGGAGACATTCGCGGGAGTTTAAAAGGGGAACCACCTTGTGTGCAAGAGCTGCTGTGATGAACGACCACATGGCGGTCAGATGCTCCCGCTTGGAAACGTCCGCCTCCTCCGACCTAGAACTGAGTAGGGGCCGACTGGGGGTCGGATTTCATGTAATTACGTGGAAAGGACGGACAGATTTGTTATTCAACCATGTGTCGTGTGGGCGTCATTGAATTTTTCATCCAAACTATGGACGTCATTCAGGTTGTCTAAAATTTCTATATTATTATTTTTGACATTCTTGGAGTGAACCAGTTGCATGGATTAAAGAGTTGTAGTAGTAGAAACCCTAAGTATTTTTAGGACATTGCCACTATTATGGCACCAATGGTTGTGTAAGTTGCCCTGACCTTAGAATGAGCTCCACCATGGCCTGTTCCATGGCCTCAACCAAATAGTGCATTTCCTTAACAGCTTGTTGTGGATGGAGGCCACTCTGGGCAGTGCTTCATGAGCCCACAATATCCACTTCTTGGTTGTCCCCATTGGTGCCAATGAGTGGCAATGCTCTTAATACTAATTAGGGTTAAGAAGAAAAATTATAAACAAGTAACAATACAATTTACTTATTGAGATAAATTGATGCACAGTGTAGAAAGATCTAGAGTAAATTCTATATTTCTTTTTCCTTTTTCCTTTCTTAGAATGTTGTTTGCCATCCAAGTGCTTTCCCATTGTCTGATAAAAGGTGGCTTCAAACCTTGGGTTTTCTCTTGATTTTCTTCTTGGTTTCTACCTGTACATTATATATATATATATATATATATATATATATATATAACATCAAAGAGCCTAACTACATGAAAGTGCTAGGTGTGCTATTCAATCCATCTTTCCTACTTATGAAACATGTGCATTCCTCCTTGTACAAGCAAACACCACGTGGTAAAGACTAGATGGATTCAAGGTTGTTAAATCTGAAAGTCAGATGCACAGCAAACAAGAGCATGTGTGTCCAATTATAAAAGGGTTTGCCATGGACCCTCCCTTCCCCTCATATTTGGGCTAGTTGCCAAATTGTTAGATGGTGGGTTCAGTTTGTGGATACATACAAGCGTAGAAAAATGCAGGATAATTACAAGAATGCATAGTTAATGACTACCCATCTATGATGAATGGAATTGGTGGGATATTTGTTTTTGTTCAAGATATAGCAAAAATGAAAGGGCATGTGCTGAAATGCCCATTTTTTCCTGACACAACAACCATTCATACTGTATGTTTGTGTGTGTGTGTGTGGTATTCACTTGACTATGGCCACTACTTGGCCTTCTAAAAAGTAGAAGATACGATACCCAAAAAGGATCATATAGGGGAGCCACAAAGGAGCATTCATGCATGAAATGGTGGAGATATCAATCAGCATTGCCAGCAAAGTCCTCTCCATCTGCTCCCAGACATACAGCACATTAGATTTTTAAAATGATTTTTTTAATGTTTTTTCTACCATGATCTTTCACTTTGCGACAAGGTTTCTCTGAAATAATAGTACCAGTAATAAATGCAGTAAAGAAACAAGTAAGGAGTACTGGTGCTTAATTTGGGTCATATTGTAATAAAAACAAATTTAGAGGGTAAGATTTGTTGTGATGGTTGATGTTTTGTGAACAGCATTTTGTCAGATAATTGTAGCAAAAAAGGAAAAAAAGGAAGAAAGTATTTAAAAAATATGTATTTATCCATTGTTTTATAAAACCCAAAGTAGCATGTCTTTGTACAAATATGTATTAAAAATAAATAAAACAATAATAAGCTTTGGACCACCATTTAAGAATGTTTCTTATATTTACAATGAGCCTTAAAACAAAACATTTTTAATTCTTTTTTATATCAACATTGGAGCAAGAAGGATTTTTAAAGTCATCTGTGGTTGTTTGCACCAAATTCTACCCACAATGCATACATATCTTGAGCTTCTAACAATGAGTTGTTTTTCATTGTAGGGGTTTCTATTTTTTGATGCAAGAGAACCATTTTTCATGTGTTCATTTAAAATGTTGATTGCATTTTATATGCAAAATGGATATATATATATATATATATATATATTTTTTTTTTTTAATAATTGGTTAAACATACTTACACCTCTTAGTTTCTCACAGATCAAAATTTATAAGAATTCAAATACAACATCAAGCGATATCCACATACAATGAATTTATTTTAAGTTATTCATTTATTTTTGTGTCAATTTGGTATTGGGTACTTTGAGTACAGCATTGTGGGTTTGACATGACTTTTGGTATATCCTTTTAATAGAATGACATGAAGACAAAAGAGTGACACTTAAGTGTACAGCATTCTGTTTGTGATATCAATGTCATGCATTCATATTAGATTATTTCAGTTATTTTGTATAATGTATTACTACACAATATCTTCCTACTCTTTAACTAGCATATATATATATATATATATATATATATACATATATATATTTTGAGAGAGAAAAATATTTCTAAAATGACATCTGTTATGATTATGAACAGGAAGAAGTACTCAGTTGGTGTAAAAGTGATAAAAAGAAATGTCAAATTATACACTCAAAATTGGAATTTAAGGATTATCTTTCTGTTTGATGAACTAACTCAATAGCTGATTTCATATGTAACAAAGTATGAAAGAATAAAAGAATTGAAACTAATGGGGTATTTGTTCATTGTAAACACAAAAGCACAGGCCAGCAAAAATTGATCACTACCAAAATAAAATTTCAGAACAATTATCTAACTAAAAATTAAAACAAAAACAATTCACTTAATTATTCAATCTTTTCAAGGACTACCTGTTATTAGCATCGTTTAATGGCAATCCTGGTTTAAAAAATCATCTGTACAATGTTTTCTGCAATTATTTTCTCAAGTTTGTTTGCAGCTTAACTTAACTAATGTTTCCTCAAGTTTTGGTTGTTGTCATGGATTATGAAAGAATCACATGCTATGTGTACAATTAACATTTAATCAACACCTCTATTTCATTAACCTTTATTCAATATATATATATATATATATATATATTTGTCCTTTTAACAACTTTTACCAGTTTGTCTAAGGCTACCTGCAAAGTTTAATAATGATGCATCACATCCATGATTTTAATCACTTGGTAACACTGTCATCTTACAATTCACTAATCACAGTGATGCTGTGTCTTTCACATGGAAACATGAAAGTCATTTATAGTGTGAATGGAACAAGTTAAAACTACTTTATTCAATATTATCAATACTTAACAGCATCATTTAATGCCAATCAAGCCACTAATCATCCTTGTATAAACATGAACACTCTATCAACTCACTAAAATTTGAAAGTTGTATAACTCATTAGCATTTTCCACAATGTCATGTAACTCTTTTAAGTTCTATTAGTAAATTTTTGGAATAACAACATATATACATATATAGGAGAATGATAAAGCAACCTAAATTTTTACTAAAGTGACCCATTCTATCTTAACCATCATTGCACCCCTCCATCCTCTATTCTTCACGTTCTCCTTGTTTTCAAAGCCTATCTCGACCCCCTTTTTGTTTTTAGTCCACATGTTGTGAATAATTGTCCTTGCTGGAGTCCCCTCACCTCCCAGTTGTGATATTTGATTCAAATCTCATTGTGAATGCAGAACATATTACCACACTCCGCATCTCAACAATATCATTCTATATAGTTGTCACTCCAGTAGCTCTCTCTTTAGCTTCTTTCATATTTTGCAATTCTATGACCACTTTCTAAAGTTCAGCTTTGGTTGCAACATACAACTCTATCATTTTTTCCTCCAACTACCATTATTGCTTTAAGAGACTTTGCTTCTAAACGAAAATCTTCAATAAGCTTGTTCAATTCCTATTCAAATTCTATGACTAATCTAAGAGTAATATTTAGAGAGAGCAACCTCTCATTGGTATCAACATCAATCTTTGAAATTAAATAGAGGATATATTTGAAGCATAACCATTGCAAAAAAGATTTAACAATCTACAACTACATTGACACAACCATGAACTTATCGCAATACATGTGCTATTGATTATCATCAAAGTATATCTAATACATAATTTTTTTAAATTTAGCAAACAAAATTGATAAAAAAATTATAATTGAAGAAAGAAAGATAAAAGCTGATTATTGATTATTACAATATCAAGATATTTTGTATACAAAAGACTATTGTAATGAGCTTGAATTGGCCATCGCCAAGATATAGCTACTTTTATGTAACTTTGCTTATCATTTATACTATTAGTTCTATCTGACATAGAATAGGTGTTGATCACCAGACTTCATCAATCTACAATTTTAGTAAGGTCTAGTTTATCAAAGTGACAAGAAGGTCCTAGATTCATCAAATGCTAGTCTATGATGTATCTTCTAGCTTTTGGATTAAAATGTTCAAAAAGAGTATTGCAATGCAAGTTCAATTGTTGAAGATATTAGTCTCTTTCTGGATGACTCAACATAGATTTCATCTCGAGATTGATACCATGCAGATTCATGAGGTCCTTCGGGGGAGCTGAAAGACAAAGTTCACAACTGTGCTCATCTTTTCATCCATCTGGAAAATCAAAATAAGAATGTTGGCCATGAACACTAAACTTGACTGCCTATGGTTGATGAAAATGAAATTAACTTATGGCATAATTGGTCTATTAATATTATTAGTGACAAAAAATTAAATAGAGGCAAAACTTCAGCCAGAGATTGAATACAACTTTGGACTAGGATGATAATAGGGATTGCTTTCAACATAACTTCGACTATGTTCATCAGAGTCACAATGATGCCTCTCAATAATATCTTCAATAACAACAAAGTTCTTGATACCAATTTGGACTTGACAGCCAAATGTATGTAGAAAAGATTGAAATATTAGTTAGTTGTAAAAAGCAAGAATGAGGAGAAGTCTTCAAAGATTATTGCCAATATCAATAAAGAATTGATCTCTTTGAATACTGCTCTTGGATTGGTCACAAAATTTGAATAGGAATTGATCCAGCTTATTGATGATCTACATGTAGAAGCAAAGTTTCTTGAAAGAGCGATGGTAGTGAAAAGAAAAAATAAAAGTTGTATGTTGCAATCAAAGTTGAGCTCTAAAAAGTGGCTGCAAAGTTGTAAAACATTAAAGAAGCTAAAAATAGAGCTATTAGAGTGGTATCTACATAAAATGATTTTGTTGAAATGCGGAGTATAGAAATATGTTCCGTATTCACAACAAGATTTGGATCAGATATCATAACTATAAACTAAAGGAACTACAACAAGGATGATTATTCACGATAGATAGACTAAAAATAGGCAAGGGGTCCAAATAAGGTTTGAAAACAAGAAGGTGGGAAATGGGGATAGAGGACTTGGGGATAGAGGACAAAAGAATGCAATGATGGTTAAAATAGAGTAGATTGCTTTATCATTCTTCAATATATATATATATATATATATAAATGATTTGATAAATTTCATTAAATTTTCAAGAAGTTATACAATTATAATCATCAGAAGTCATCATTATATTTGGTTAATTATAACTTCTTTCTTTCACTTCCAAGTTGTGACATCTTGGTAGAAAAATAAACATTAAGAGACATACATTGTAGCAATACAAAACTGTTGTGTTGAAAATATGTATACAAATTCCTGAAATCACTTTGAAATCCTATTAGTAAACCTAATATCATATATGCCTTAAAATAGAAATATACAACACTGTACAATTCATGCATCAGTTGTCTGTATTGAGAATATTTTAGAGAAAGAAAGACAAGAGTAGCTAGAAGTAATATGCACAGATGTGTAAACATAGACACATAAAAAGTGAGTTTATTGATAAGGTTATATCTCTTATGCAAAGAGAAGGGGAGAAAATAAACAATTTCTCCCCACTACATTCCAAACACTGTAGCTACAGTAAATAGTGTGGGGAGTGCTAGCTACATTTAATGCTCTCAATAGTCTAAGCTCCAAATGATGAACAGTATCTCAAGTGAAAATGTTTTGTTGCCCTAATCTTTGGAATCTGTGTATTTGAAGTTTAAATAAAGTTGTGGATCGGTCCAGAACATATGATGTTTGACTGATTGTATCTGATCTGAATTTCATGGAAGTTAACCAACTGTGGGTCCCAAAGTCACAGTAACCATTTCAAACAGCAGACAAAAATTCTTGTAAGTCCTTCACTTCATTCCAGGAAATGAAGACTGAAACATGTTTCTTTTCACCATTTTAAACGCTTCATTGTTTGCACACAACCTCGCCAATCTTGATTACAAGCAACTTTATTTGGTTCTAAACTGAAAATAAACTAGACCCTGCACAGGAAAGAGGTCTAACGAACATTAAAACATATAAAATAATGAGACCACAGATCATCCTCAGATGATCTACCGCTCCGGAATCCTCCCACAGACAAAGCATCCACCATCGTTCAAATGGTCCTCATCAGCAGGAAGCAAACAAAAGCCGTTGTTCTGCAGGCAATGGCACGAAAGCAGAGCATGAGGCACATCCGAGGTCAAGTTCAAATGCTGAGCTCAGCACCAGAGCAATACCATTAAATATAGGGTGCAAATCCCGTACGGTGTGCTGCTACGTAATGTCTAGCTTGTCACCTTTTCCAATCGAAGAAAAAGCTGCGTTTCACCAGCTAGGCTCCAGGAAGTGACTTCTCGATCGCTGCTTTCGAATGGGTGCTGCTGACCATTGAAGACGGTTTTTGTCCTAGTGATGACGCACACACAAACATACACACCGAGTGAGAGAGGGAGAGAGAAGAGGGCAACGGGATCCGTTCCCCGACCAGAGTTGCCGTTTGACACCGTAATGGTGGGGTAAGCAGGAAGTTGCATGTACTTGTTCTTTGAAGAGTCGTTGGAGTCATGTGCAGACAGAGTAGTCGGAGCTTGGGGCCTTTGAGGTTCAACGACTTTCAAACTAAGATATCCAGCTGCTGAAACTCGTGATTTTCCCCACGGTTTTCAGAGGTTGAGCGTTGTGTTTTATTGTGACAGAGTTTGTGACAGTTTTGTGATTATCTGTGCTTGGGAACCGTGACCCCTAAGGGCATAAATCACAAGAAGGCAAAACTCGCGTCGCCGTGTAACAGGTCTTAAGTTCTATGAGGTGGAGTAATTAGGTGAAGCTTTTGGACATTGCCGAAAATCTGAGATTGATGATCACCAGTATTTTACACCAGAGTGAAGGCACCGCAAGAGATCGGCGAAGGTAATACCACAACTAACAGAGTATATGTGACTGGCATCTCCATTGCTGTTATCGGGGCATTAGCACCACACTGGTACGAATCAGGCAGCCGCATAGCGTACTCCACGAATCAACTGATCTACTTTTCCTCAAACATGTCTAGATCATGTTCATTGCCATGAGAGTAATCGCGCTTGCTAAATGCAGGGTTATGTCCAGGCTCCGACTGGATCTCATTGCTAATGGTGGTGGTGTTCATAAACGAGCTTCACATCAATGACGCAACTAGATGAAATCAACCGGGTGAGTTTTTCAGCAGTTATGTCTATCTGGTGCAGCTCTATGAACGAGAATCGAGGATCTGAAAAGTGGATTGATATGGAGTAGAATATTTTTGGGAAGTCTCAGCAGTGTCATAATGTCGAGTAATGCAGAGGCTAGACCCATAAGATTAATCACAGGCTTGTGGCCTGCATTGTCGCAGATAAGTCCTGTCAATGACTCCGACATTCACACGATTCATCCAAAGTAAGTCTTGTCCATCTCAAGCTCAGCTCATCATGAACACACTCGCGATGGCCTTCTCCCAAGTGTGGTGACTTGTCTCTGAATCCCCCCCCCAGAATACAGAATCATCACTTCTCACTACCCTCATCAAGTCACAATGCAATCTACCAAGATCTGCAAATCCTCCACGAAGGAATTCTTTTGACGGGCACGGAGCGGCTGGTATGCTCTTCAAGCTTTAATATCAATCAGAGTGTATAACTGTGTCCTCGACAACGATAAATTGCTACAGAACTGTGGCGATTTAATTCGACTATCCTGTAACTTCCTCCAACAGACTTGAGGGTTCTGGTCCGAGTCTTGCAGCAGCAGCATTGCCCAGAACCTCACAAAACAACATCCGTCGTATTGTAACCCAATGGCAGACAACCCTCAACTATGAAAGACAGACTGCACCATCGACAGGATGACCACCGATTCGAAGTAAGGCTCCTGATGACACCGCGACGGGTACGAAGCAGCATTTAAGACTAAAACGTGGCCAAACAGAAGCTTCAGAGACAGTGAACACAACACCCATCTCAGTCCCAAATCAAGCGCAGTAAAAATTCCAAGCTCTTCAGCAGACTTTGGCCAATCCAAAACCTTGCATTTGTTCCTTACTCTCATTACCCAACTCTTCAGATTGCAACTTCATCAAAACAAGGATTAAACCTCTGCAGCTTCCAACCCCCCGAAATCCGCCGAAAACAGGCAAAATCCATGTCTGGATTAAGAATTTGCTGCTGTTGTGATTCGCTGTCTCAAAGGTATCCCATACTCGATGGTTTCGGATCTTGTTCGTGACGCCAAGTATGGGCTCTTTTGCTACCATTTTAGGAAGATGACCCAATGGATTTTGCATTCTTCAGTTGCAATGCCCTTTTTTTCAAACTGCTGCAAGTTTAGGTTGTTGCTCATTTGTAGATAATATTAGCAATGGAACATTGCCGTGCTTTTAATCTTTTCTTAAAAAGCTTTGAGACTTGCTTCTTTACAAGTATGCAGCTAATATCTTAGTGGTATAAAAAGATGCCGTTTGTTATATTTTGATGTTTTTCTTATGTTTTTGTATCTAACTAAAATGAAAATATACAACAAATTCATGATATGATATTTGAAGGATGAAATAGCATGATATAGGAGTTAGCTATTTCATTTTATGTTCTATCTTTGTTTGTAGTTTATGTATATTTGTGGTGCTAAGGAGATGGAGAACCAACAACAAGTAGATTCAATTCAAGAGCTATTATTTGCTCACTTACTAGATGAGACATTGCAATTATCACAATCTTTAAGACAATGTAATTAAGATGAAAACCATCAAGAATGACAAGTTCTTCTTTAAATAGATGGCAATATACAATGCATTTGGTAACATGACTTTAGAAAAGATTTTTGATATTTTGTGATTTTATTGGATGTCAAATTGACTCCTAATGGTCTTACAAATATTTTGTTTGAAAGAAGTTATGAAGGCCTCAACAATGACCAATTAATAGGATTTTTTTTTTTTTTTTTTTTTTTTTTTAATCTTAGAATGAGATATTATTAATAGCTAAGATGACATATCAACCATGTTCAATGGGAACAAAGATCAAAGTATGTGGCAAATACAATTCTCTGCATCTTGAATTTCTTCAACATATGATGATTGTTCTTTGTGGAACTTGTCTCTAGAAGAAGAAGTAATATCACAGACATTTATATTCATCTAGATAAAAAATACTAGATAAAAGATTAATATAGGTAGATTTCATATTATCTTATTGCAAAGCTTCTTAAAAGCTTCATAAATGCATATTTGACTTTATACATATTTAATGTTAATTAATAGGTTAGAAACTTAGCTAATGAGTTAGCCATGTATTACACATGTTGATAGCTTGTGATATAAGCTAACAATACTGTATGCATATAGAAAACTTGCCTTGTAAGTTAAGATACATGTCTTGCAAATTAAAAACATATTGGAAATTTTATAGGACATCGGCATGTAGCTTTTAGTTGATAGTATATATAGAAGCATGTGTGAAGCCTTCTTCACTGTTGTTAATGCATTTCTAATCTTTAGTCTTATTTTAAGACTTTCTAATCTTCTTATTTTTGGCAATAGCCATTTTAATTTAATATTATACCAACTTTGAATGACTTTTCAATCTTTTTGAGTGAAATAAGATTATATTGATCTTTTAATTTTGTGAGATTTATATCTTTGACAATTATGATTGAAGAATCTTATTTTGTAACATATTATTATTTTTTTAGCAACCATGCTTTTTATTTTGTGATTATGTTTCTTCATTGAATAATTTTGAATAATATACTTATTTTTTTTATAATATAAGTACAAATCTTCTTGACAATGTTGTTTTTTTTCTTACTCAGTAAGAGGTTTGAAACAAACCATGTCAATTTGTATAGGTTCTAAATTTAGTAAATAAACTTTTAAAAACTTAGAAATTATTTTAATGACTTGATTTATATTTCTCAAATCAAATTTTTATTCTTGATATCTTTTAAAGAGCTAGTTGTTGCATGCAATGGCTTAAAGAATAAATTTCTTTTATAAATTTGCTCTTGGCATCATCAATAGTAAGTCTTTAATATTATCTTTTAATTTATATTAAAATTGATTCATATGTGCTTTGTCATATCAATCTACATTGTAATCAAGATTTTGGAATTTTGTAACATATATGGTGGCTGAACCTAATTCATGTCATAAAGATACAAGTTAAATTTTTGCTATATTTTTTTGATTATTTTTTCCAAATATGACTATATACACTTGTAGGAATGAATTCAAATCATAAAAGAAATTCAAATCTTTTCTATTAAAGGTACAAACTAAGAGAGAGTACTCCTAGATAGAAGTATATCTACAAATCTAACTTGAATAAATCCATCAAAGAATAAGAAAGGATGCAACCTTCGATATATCTTAATTTATTGTAAAAATTCTCAAAACTTTAATCTCGTTCTATTAAACTTTCTCAATATAATTATTCTTGCCCCCTCATACTTATAATAGTAAGGCATTTTTGATTCTATAATAAAATTGATCTAGTTTTTTTTTTTTAAATACATAACTTTTTGACATAGATTTCAAATTTTATTATTGATTTCTTTCATAAGCATTGGAATACTACCTCTATAGTTGACATTAGAAATACATGAAATTTCTACCCTAGAAATATTGACAAGCTCATAAAATTTTGCAATATTTACAAATCTATTCTTATTTCTTCTAAGAATAGCATCAATAATATTTTTTTTAATAAAAATCTCAAATAAATCTATGAATCAAATTAGAGAAAGATAATTTGTAACTTCTAATATCAAATGAAAATTTCCACAAAAATGATAATCTCTTTAAGGAAAAAATTAGTATTAAAAAACTAAAATATTAGTTTAAAGATATGTAATCCATAATCTTCAAAATACAATAATAGAAGTGAATTAATTCACTCACTTCTAAAATAAAAAAAGAACAATGAATTAGCATTCTTGTCAAACTATCAAGGACAAAAAATTCAAACAAATAATAATTCAATACAGTCTTTTATCACTCAAAAAGAATAAATATTCATTCAAAATTAATATAATATTAAAATTAGAATGATTATTACCAAAGGCAAGAAGACTAAAAAATCTTTAAAGAAAACTAAGGACTAGAAAGGTGTTGATAAGAGTAGAGAAGGCTTCATTTTTGCCTTTATATATACTATTTAATTAAGAGCTATGTGACAAAGACCTTGTAGGAAATTTTTTAACTTGAAGAAGCACTATGTGGTAGCCAAAATCCACATGATATTTAAACCATCTATAAATTTTGATGAAAACACCAACTTCGAAGAATTTTATTTTGATATAGGATAATATACACTAAAATCATCCAATCTAAAATATAAATCATCACCAAGAATAACTAAGTAGAAAATAATAAGTCTTCATAAAGCACTTTTTAAGGCCACAAGGCCAATCTATTTAGATAGAATATTCTCTTATATCCTTGCATTGAGATTTAGAAACAAAAATGTAGATATAATATGATTTTTAGCAAGAAGTCTAGTGTGATGATATTATAGCAACATTAATTGTATTAAGGCAATGACCTTACATATATTGAACTTTAAGAAGTGCCAAAACTAATAGTTATAATAGCCACATTGTTGTGTCAAATATGTGTATATTCTTTAGTCATTAGTGCTACCATTGATAGACTATAGATGTTTAATATGAATATCAACAATCAAATTGTAAAGATAGTGTACAATGAGAGCATAGTCAAATTACAAAGGTTATATATAATAAGAGTATAATTGAGTTACAAAGATAATACACAATAAGAACATAGTTGGATTGTAAATATAATGCACAATGATAGCATATTAGGATTATAAAGGCAATGTATAAAAAAAAATATAATTTGGTACTGAGGCAAGGTAAGTAAATATTGAAAAGATACTTATATAAGAAGTATGTAAGTTACGACACAAGTAAAAGAGATAATTTTTCATCAAATATGATAGAAGTATCAATTGGGAGGTAAGACGTGGATTAAATCATAAATCATGAGACAATAAAATAAGAGAAGAAATTCATTTCTTTGCAAATAAGGACATGTGGATTCAACTAAAGGTGATTTTGTTGATTATATAACCTTAGATATTAAGCATCATGCCTTGGAACTAATGAAAAGGATTAGTATATATATTAAGAAAAATGTAAAGGTCCAAAATATACCTTGGTAGTTCAATAATATGTATACGTAGTTGTATAAAATTTAAATACTTAATTTGAATATCAAACCTTTTTTTAGTATAAATATTGCAAGATGTCTTGATTCAAGTTTTAGTTGCCTATAAGCTATTTTTTTAACATTGATAATTTACCAATAAGTAGAAGGAGCATGAATTAGAAGGTTTCCATTAATTTATAAATTAAGAAAAAATGAGAAGAATATATAGGCTAAAAATCAATGTCACTCTTATAAAATAGGAAGGGATCTCTAAAAGATTGATTACCTTCGAACCATCTCTTTTCATCTTTTTGAAATACTTTATCTTCTTCTTTAGAACTAGCAAGCCGCTCCCTTTATTCTTGAGCTTATATACTTTCATCACCATAGAAAGATCCTATTAGTTTATGTTGTCCAAGATTGAATCTTCTACTCCAATTACCACCTTACTTAAAATCAATTTATTCATAATGTATTTGTCCTTAAACCACCACAACATAAAGGTGGCTACATCTTAAGATAACTAGATTTTCATATAATATTATTCTTAACCTCTCATCGATGAAATTTGCAAGGCTAAGCTTTCTTAACCTTACATGTACAATTGGTTTTGTTATTCATTGCACCAATCCCCTCATGTTTTCTACTTTAACTATTTTATCAATTCACTCCTATTTTAAAATTAGTTACATACTAAGACTTTTGTGCTAAGTCCATCTATTGGTTGCTTTGGTGAAATATGGTTTCTATAATTCCTTGTTTTGCTTCATTATTGACTTTTGTATAATTAAACATCTTATTAATTTTTATTTTGGAATATATGATGGGGCGGATGGGACTCCAATCTCTAATCATATCCCACTATCTATTGCCTTAATCAAGTTATGTTTATGTCAATTGTGACTCAAGTCAATGTCATGTTTTTTTTAATAAGATTGTCCATTGCTTCTATAGCTTTCCTTCTATTAATGGTTATCTGCTATAAATTGATTCTTGTAGCTATTCCATCTTGGAGCTTATGTCAACACGTTAATATCCATTTGGTGGATCGTAATATCTTAGATCATATCAATATCTTATTTTTTCTTCTTGCAATCTTTAAGACTTTTTATGAAATTTCTATTTTCTATTTTTTTGTATCCCTTCTATTTACCAAAACTACTATAGTTTTTTATTTTTATTTTTATATATATATATATATATATATATATATATAGATATATATTCTAGTAAATAATTTAATGCCTTTAGTTGTTTTTAAGTTCTTTTCTATTTCTATTCTATATTTTATATTCTCTCAAGATCATCCATTGAACCTTTTTTTTTAAAGCTAGTAGCTCCAATCTTCTTAGAAGATTTGTCTTAAT